TATATTTATTATCTCAAAAATTATAAACAAACACCCTATAAAAAAAAAACTAAAAACTCACTGCCGTGGAGTCGGTTCTCATAGCGACCTCCACTGGGTTTCCAAGGCGGTGTATTTTTACGGAAGTAGACTGCCCCATCTTCCTTCCACGGAGTGGTGGGTCTGAACCTTCCGGTTAGCAGTCAAATGCTTTAGGGACTACACCACCAAGCTCTTTATACCTAACCATCCCCAGTGGTTTCACCAAATGTCTTCACCTCCCCTGCTCCTTAGCAAGGAAGCCTGGCCTTGCCCTCTGCCCCGCCTCCTCATTGCTTCCTCACATTCAGATACCATTGTTCCTCTCACTCCATTCAGGGTTCCTTGCTATTGGGAGGTGAGTGAGTGAATGCCTCACTGCCAAGACCCACTCTTTCATCCTTGTCCTGACCCACACCCAGGCTTGGAACATGTCTGTGGCCTTCTCCCACCCAGTTCCTGCCCTTCCCCGAGGACACCTGATTTATTTATTCTGGACCACAAAAGTACATAGGTCCCAGGTCCTAGCCAGCATTTGTAATAGTTAGCTGCATAACAACAACAAAACACATACACACGGTTATCCCATGTGTCCAGACGAGAACTGACCTATGGGGTTTTCAACGCTATAACCTTTTGGAAGCATATCACCAGGCCTTTCTGCTGACACGTCTAAGTGGGTTCAGCAAACCTTTTAAGAGCAGCCCTGCCACTGAGTAGCAGGGATTCCAGTGGCATAAAAAACCACCCAAAACTTACCGGCCTCAAATAACACTGATTCATGATTCCCCATGAATCTGCGATTGGCTGAGCAAGCTTTCTGGTCTGGGCCAAACCGACCGAGGCTGGCTGATGTAGGACGATGGCTTCAAGAGCCTCCAGTCTCCACTGCATGGCCGCGGCTTCCCGCCTCTGTCCCAGGCCACTCCCAGAGTTCTTTGCACCACAGTTGTGTAATCCCCATTGGTCAAAACAAGTCACATGACGTACCCAAGGGCGCGGCTACAGAGAGCAGTGACTCACGAAGGTAATTTACCTCTTCACTGCCTCAGCTTCGCCTGGAAGCCACATTAGACACTGTTCAGCCACTATCCGGACGTAGAGCACGCATCTCTGCCATCTTATCTAAACCACGCCTTTCCTGCCTCTATCCATCTCAGGGACGGACCCAGCACTCCTACCTGTTCTTTTCCTGGGCTCAGGGCTCTGCACCTCAGCACCCAATATACCCTCTTGCTTGTTACACTAGCCTAGAAAACACCCAATGCTGGCAGCTGGGCACCTTTGGAGACAGCGGTGCCCCAAACGCGAGCTCAAAACCACAGCTGGTCCTCAGCACTCCCCAGGTGACAATCAGTGCACCCTTCTTCCATCTGCAGGGATGAATAACCCCGAAACATGTACTCGGGCTTAATCATGTTTATTTATTAATCTGTGGTGAACAATTTCTCCTGGGTTTCAGTCAAAGCTGTGGTGAAACCCAGATGAAATTGTTCACTACAGACTAGCCAAAAAGCACAATTAAGCCCATATGTATCTTGCTTACTGTAACCAGGTGTGTAAGGTACTTACTGGTTAATCCACCCCTTTGGGTCGGCTCACCACCCTGTCCCCATGGGTATCCAGGTGCTGTGCCAAACCTTCTCATGCAAACCTGACCCTTCCCCTTTCCTCCTCACTGACAACCTACACCCCCAGCATCCCCCTGCTTTTTCTTCCAGCTCCTGTAACCTCTGGCATTTCACATGTAGTCTGTCTGCCCTGCCTAGAATTTAAGTGCAATGAGGACAGGGTGGTTTTGTTTGTTCACTGTTTTACCCTCAGTATTGAGGGCACAGTTCCTAGAAGGACATCACGCTTGGTAGAAGGTCAGAGAAAAAGAGGAAGATCTCAAACAAGATGGATTGACACAGTGGCTGTTACAGTGGGCTCAAGTATAGCAATGATTGTCAGGATGGTGTAGGACCCACCAGTGTTTCCTTCTCTTGTACCACAGGGCCCCTGAGTCAGAACCAACTGGACAGCACCTAACACCACCACCACCCTCAGCATCAGAACCAGGCCCCACAGGGAACAATTCATTGGGAGCGTCAGATGCTAATTAGTTTGCAGTCACCTGAAGCTTTTTTTTTTTTTTTAACTTTTATTGTGCTGAAAATATACACACCAAGACTTTCAGCAACATAACTTTCCCATTTACAGCTCAGGGACACTGATGACATTTTTCATGTTGTGCCACCATTATTGCTATTCCTTTCTAAGATACTCTACCACCATTAACATAA